TAAGCTAATTAAGGGAGGAAAGTATGCAAAAAGATTGTTGTTCTAGCTTATTAATAATGTCTTTTTAAAATAGCACAAAAGAATTTAATGGCACAGAAATAAATGTTTCAAAATCTTCTCAAGAATTCAGAGATAAATGACATGAGTTTCTCATGGGACCAAATGACTATCCGTTAGCATTCAAACAACACTTACCTTTTTCAGGAAAGACTGAATGACAACTTATGCGGGAGAAAGTGAAGGGACAGATTCAGGGACAAAACCAGAGACCACGGCCATTCACAACCATGAATATGTCTGCTTCCACATAGCTCTATCCGCAGTGCCAGGCCCAGAATGGGAGCCATTGGGCAAGATATCTGCAACACACACCCTTCTTCCATGGTCTACCATTCACACCACCCATTTTCTCCAGAACCTTTCGCTCACCTTCTTTCTCATCCTCCTGCTTGATTGACAGGCTCAGAGCCTGTGAGCCGCCACTGCCACCGACTTCTCCCCACCTCACTACCAACATTGACTAGGCCAGAGTGAGTGGCAGACAAACAGGTCCAAGAGTGAAAATGAGGGTAAAGTCTAGTCACCTCCTGCAGGAGTATTCCTATCTTGGACATTACTCTGCCTATCAAACTGCACAGCATTTGATCTGTTTCTGGATCATCCAGGGAACCAGCCAGAGAGTTTCAGCTACTAGGTGGTGGTGAAGATCTGCCTCTGATATATTTATACATAGGGACAATAGAGAGATTTAATTAAACACTCTGATTTCATAAAAACAAAGAACACTGCAACCTGACATAATATATTTTGTGCCAACACTTTGTATGCGCCTTCACTTATAATGTGCCCTCTGGGAAAAAGCCAAGGTGGACCATACACTTTACACACAAAACGGTGCAGGTATGATTACAAGCATCTTCCAGAAGGGCTGGCAAATTAAAACGATGTTTTAATGCTTTACAATCTTTTATTTAATCTTGGAGACATGTCATTGTAGAAATCATGAGACCAACTCAATGACTGTGACTCAGTTTCCTAGGCACTCACACATCCACATAGTTAATTCCCAAAAAGGGCATGATGTCCCACATTTATTTTATTATTTATTTATTTAAAACTTTTGGAAGCAATTTACTGGCATGCTTAATTTGCTATGCAGCAGGCAATGGACAGAGGGGAAAGGAACATTTGGATACAACTCACAAAGTATAATTTTTGAAGAACAGGGACTATACACACATCTTCACACACAATCTTACTTATGAGCTTGCTTTTCCTACAGCTCTTTCGTAATAGCTGTAGCTTTTATAATAGCTTTTATAATAGCCAGTAACTCAACTTTGTAAGCCTCACAAATGTTACTCGCCTACCACAGAAGAATAAAAGAACATAACGCAGGTGCCTGTGGGGGACTAGCAGAAGGAGGACCAAAGAGTTGGATCTTTCTCTAACAGCTCACTGCATTTCTCCTGTAAGCAGGTTTCACAGGAAAGACGGAGTGCCATTCCTTCTTTTGCCAGCCTGCTCATTCACATCCACTGAATTCTTTGCTAGCTACAGTTACGGTGACCAAACAAGTGCTAAAAAATAGATGTCTGGACTTACAATTATAGTGTCAGAAGGCTCACCGTTTTTCCAAATGCTTGGAATTCTGGGGACAAGGGAAATACATCTTCTTGACAATTCCTATTCTGCAATATTCACTCCAATTACTTAAAAAAAATTTAAATGCTTTTCACAAAATAGAGGACACAGCTGCCAATTTGGGCATACCAAGACATGATACTTAGTAAAACTGAAACTTCTGCATGGCACCATCCATAGGGTGAATTCTTATGAATACCCTTGAAAGAACATTCCAAAATATTGAGGCACAAGAATAAGATTACCCACCTCAAAAATATTCTGCATACCTTTCTCTTCCCCACTTGGAAACCTATTAACATGACTGGAAATTAGAAATGCAGCATTTAAATGTAGTCCCTGATTCTTTGGTTAAATGGTCCAAAGAATACATGTTACTGGATATGCAAACTGTATTCACTGAACATCGAAACATTCAAGAATCAGGAACACTACAGAACAGCAAAGGCAAGTAGGTACACTAGACCTAGGGGCATGGCGTTTGAACCACACATCAGAAGCTGACCATCCAAGACCTATCATAAGAAGCTACTCATACATAGTCAAAACAAGCCTTTCCCAGACTTGGGCCCACAACTTTCTGTCTGCGAATCCTAGCACATCTGAATATTGGCCATGCTGGTAGAGGCTGAGGGGAAACGAAGTTGGAAAGATCTGGGGGTACCAAACTGATGAAAATGTAGGTTATACCATCAGACTGCCGAAACAAAAGAGCTGTTGAAATGACAAACCCCAAAATATCTTCTTTGGGCAAGCTTGGCGGATGGGGTTTACAAGACAGATGCTTTTGCCATTTTAGTTGCACATGGACCAGCAGACTGAAGCCACTGAGATAGTTGATGAGTTCACCAGTAAAATGTGGAGGCAGTTAACATTTAATGTATGCTCTTTCAGTGCAGCAGATCCGATTAGATTTATTTCTGGACCATTCCAATGTATATTATCTTCAGATGTCATCCAAATATTTTAAGCAATTCTGCCCTTGATTCTGTTATTTTTATGAGAGCAGCATAAAATAGTGCAATGAAATTACTAGAAGGCAAAATTATTAGTTCCACCTAGCACTGCGAAGAAGGATCGTAGCTTGTCTATATTCTGAAAGGGACAGGATAATGAGAAATGACTATTGGAAAGTTCTCCTTAAAAACCCAAGCAAACATGCTTCCAGTGCCTTGTGAATTTACCCTTAAATTTTCATGTTTCTTCCCCACTTCAATATAAAGTGGGGAAGTTTGAAACAATGACTATACAGGTGAACTTAGAGCATACACGAACTGTATTGTTTAATCATTAGTTTTTAATGCTCTCATTCACCTTTTTTAGAGATCGGAAAAACCATTTTTGCCCACAAGTCCACCCACATATTGAAGAAAAATTGCTTTTAAGCATCTAGGCTTCTGGAGAACTTTTGCAGTTTATTGCTGCAACAGTCTTCAAAGGAAACATTCAATTCCAATTTACAACATCATCAATTTTTACCCCCATGCGCTTCCCATTCCTATAACTAACACTGTAAAAGAAAAAGGCTGCATTTTCAAAATGTCTTTCACTGCCTTTATGTCCATTAAGGTCTAATTGATATAAAGGTAAGCTCAGGGTTTACTTAAAAGGGACAACTGTGCTGCCATTTCCAAGTTGTCTCCCATGTCTCATCCATGATCAAGCACATTCTAAAGCTTCCAAAAAAGTCCCTTCCTCCAGAGGAAAAGACATTTTGGATTCAACCCCCTAAATACCAGTTTTGAAAAGATGGGAGGCTACTCATCCAGTGCAGTGCTTGTAAAGAATGGCTTTGCAATTTCTTCTTCTACTTACCAATTAAATATAGTGACTGATGTTGAAAGCTCATGCATGTTTACTTGTAAACAAGTCTCACTAAATAGGTTTGGACAACATGCCACAGCTTCCCATGATGAGCCATGTGACCTGCAGGCACAAGACTGAATATGCAACACCTGCTCAAGAGTCACGGTGTCCTGTGAACCTGGTCAGGTGGGGATTACACAATAGTTGAACCACCCTTGCGTAACACTAAACTGTCCGTGAGCTTTGTAAGGGTTGTTTAACCCTTACTTAACATTTATTTATATTTATTTAAAACATTTATACCCAGTCTATACCAAAATAGGTCTCCAGACGTACACAGTACGTATAGATTACAACACATGTGCATATTCAAAATAGCATGCACACACGTCAGCCACAGCATGGGTTAAACAATACATGGTGGACTGCACTCCTGTGTAAATGGTCCCACCTTGCTCAACAAGGTCTTAATCCCAGGCAAGTATGTTTGCAATGGCAACCAAAGAGATTGATCCTTGAATCAGAAAATACTCAACTGAAATCTTGCCTGTTATTTTACTCATATGATGGCTTTAGGACAACCACACTCTCTCAGATTCCCATCTTGCAATATGGGGATAATGGTAGATTTTTATGCTACTGCTGTCCCTATCTCTTTAAACCATTTCTTTGTTTTATTGCTTTAATATTTTCTGTAAACCAGCTTGAGCATTTTTAAATGGAAAAAAAATCATTTACTTAAAAGTGAGAGAAAAGCTTTGTAGTAAGGATTGTTTGTAAAGCACTTTAAAAGCACCAAGAATGTGAACTAAAATAATCCAAGTGTCATGGAAAGAGCTTCTTTAGTCATGCCATAAGCCTCCACTCTAGAATAAGACCCTTCCCACAACATATACCAAAAAGAGATACTGGAACTCCACCACATCCCCTCACATCTGACAAAAAGCCCCCTTTGAGATGTATTGTTCTTTAGTCCCTTGATTTGACTATTAAAGAGTACACCTCAATCCAGTGGCAGTGTCCAAGAATGGAACACTCATTCATGGAACCTGTTGTGAAAGCTAAGGTCTCCCTCAGCCTTTCTGCAGGGAGAGAAATTGAATCCAACCCTCTGTGCTGCCTCTTAAAATCTTTGGGATTTTAGCTTTTAAAGCATTTATGCACAGAGCCTTAGCAGGTGGATTCTGAGATAGAAAGTATGCCCACTATTCTCAGTTATTCATGCAAGTCCCTACCCAGCTTATGGATTCATATGAAGAAGCTGGTTTCCAAGTGTGTAACATCCACAACTGGATGGGGACAATGCAATAACTATAACAGATTTGATTTATATCCCACTTCTCAACAGGTTCCCAGGTCAGCTGGGAACTAGAACAGATATTTAAAGTTAACACAGTAAAAGATGCTGGAATGATAAGCAAGCAAGCGTTTGCCAATTTGTTCTATTAGCAAAAAAAGGATCACAACTTAACACTACTAATCGAGAATAGTACCACCAAACAAAATTTGCAACACAAACATTTCAAAGAGAAATTATTTAAATCTCAAAGTAACGAAAAAGAGTGTTTTTATTGTTCACCTAAACAAGTTTTACAATAAAAATACCTTTAAAAGCAAGCATGTTCTTCTTCTATTGTTCCAGCAATTTAGTTTAAAACATTTTATGGAATTTTCTTGACAAAGCCAGTCATGTAACTGGATAGATAATACAACAGCATCTTCTTTCCTTAGATTTTTGTGAATAGCATTTTAATTGGTCACAGTCTAAGCAAACAATCCCGGAACACATATACTATCCAGTACACACAATATAAAGAAAATAAATCATAACCGCTGTGGAACAGAATATCCCCAAAACAAAGACAAAACCCATAGTAGAACACAGTGGTTAAGGTAAACTCCATCCCTTGATGATAAGTTGTGCTCTGTGCCTGGAAGGCAGGGGAAATTAACAGCACTAATTTGAAGGACGGGAAATACATAATCAAGTATATATACTCAAGTAGGGTTTAATTAATGATGCATTAGTAACAAGGTGGTAGTTCATTTGGTAAAACAGTGTTCAGGTTGATTTGGTGGACGGGGTAAAGAGAGAAAATGGGTATGTTTAACATTTTGTAACAATTTAAGAATTTCATAGTTCTGTAACACCATCTTCGTAAAAGAAGTGTTTTACACTCGTACAATGTTAATTACTTTATTATACATGGTAGCCTGCAATAGGCCCATTACACAATAAGACTGCAAACAACCACTGGTACTTTTCTGCCTTCAGAAAGTACGTAAGATAGAAACATCACCAAAAGTACATTTTTAAAAATCTGCATAAACATCACCAAAATTACATTAAAGAACTAATTAGGAAAAAAATACATCTGAAAAAGTGGTTCTGGGCAGTGCAACTGCTTTTTAGCAGTCTGAAAATAGCCACTAAGTTTTCTAGCAGGTTTCCGTGGCTCCACAGGTTCTAAACAAGATTCACATATCATAAATAATGTACCACAAAATATACATGAATTTGAGCAACAATTCCTTGGGAAGATCTTGGCTACAATAAGCCACATAGGTATTGGTCACATGGTTCATTCATTTAGGCCAACCTCTGAATGGAAGTGCAGACTTAATACACAAGCCTGCAAAGTGTCCTACATTTCCTTGTAACCACATGTACTCTTAACCCCCACCCACACCCTACCCTCAAAATACTCAAAACTGCCTGTGGACATGGATGACTAAACTAGTAAATCCCAACGCATGGTGCAGGGCTTCGCTATGTACAACTGAGTAACTGTTCTTAGTATGGAAACCTTTATGGCCTTCTAAAATAAAGGGGCATTCAACTTTTTTAATTGTTCAGCTTTTGATGTCACAAGACATCAGAAAACACATAATAAGTTATGCAATCTTCTGGAATGTAAATCTTCTAAAATTCCAGCTTTTACCTAAAAGGAACAGGAAGAGATCACAAATCGTGGAGAGTGGGATTGATATAAAAAATAACTGATAAAATACAGGGACCTAAGACACTAAACAGAAATACTTAAGCAGAAGAAAGAAGATTTGGAGGCCAATTTGAGGGATTAAAATATATAATAAATAATGCATCCCAAAACGTATATAAATTATGACTGTAATTTTCATTTAGGGTTCCAATGACATAAATTTGCCTCTTTAAAATTCTTCTTGTGGATTATACCACTCAAATCTCCTTACAAAATTACAGTCTTCAGGAAAAAATGGGGGTGGGCATTATAGTTTGTATTAAAGCTATCATTCTAGGCTTATACCAAGGATCTGAGAATATCTACCCCACCAGTCTGGAATGAGTATCATCATCTGGAAAAGAAACAGAGTACATTAGCATCTATAAACAAGCTGTAGGTAGCCAAGTTCTCAGAAATTTTTATCACCCAGATATAAGACAGCAAGTTGTAATGTTTTAGATCCCTTTGTTAAATGGTGAAGTAGATTTGCCACTTATCTATAAACTGGAAACTCTAATACACCAGTAGTGCACAGAATCTCCTTGCTTCGTTACATTTTCCTGAGAGTAAAGCAATTAAAATAAACCTTAATCCTAGGAACAAAGGTTTTTTTGTTTTTGTTTTTTTCTCTTTTTTAGTTTTTTGCATTTTGCAACTTTTGGGCTATTCCCTGACAATCTAAATATGTAAATTGGATTGCTAAACACTGTCACATGAACACATAAAATGCAAACTATCAAGTCTATTGATCTGATTAAAAACCATAATACAAACTGATCTAAAATTACATTAACAAAAACTAAATATGAAAAGTTGCATTGAAAGGGCGTGTTACATTATTTGTATTAGACTTGTGTAGAAACATTCCAATGGCAGTGTTATCAAAATAAAACTAATACATGAAGATCACCCCAAAACCTAGTCACACTTGGAACTTTACCTATAACTTTGGCTAGTTGGGGTTTTTACTCTTGTACTACATGGCTCACTTACATCAGACATTATATTTGTATACCCTGAGAAATCTGATACTGAAGTCCTTACTCTATGGTCCACTTCCCCATTAGAGTTAGCAATAAAAGTCATTGGCACCCTGCTGCCCGTCTTAAACTGAGAACCAAATGCTTGTGCAAAGGTCTCTATCTGATATGTTGCTCGATGTTCCAGGTCTTTTTGAGGATCTATCTGGTTAGCTAGCTCCTGAGATGGAATTGGAAAGCTTGCTGAAGATTCTAGGTTTTTTTGTTCCTTCTGGCTATTCAATTTTTGAGGCGTAGACTGATAACCTGATGAAGTGTCTAGATTTTTCTGAGAGTCTATCAGGTCATCTAGCTCTTGCGAAGGAGTCAACTGTTGATGGGTTGCCTCCAAAGCAGATAAATAAAAACCAGGCTGAGATCCAAGCAACATCCCAAAAGGAGGCTTTGTCAATGCAGAGGTAACAGATTGGCCAAAACCACACTCAAGTGGAGATGTAGTGTATATTTGTTTGTCTTGAAACAAAGTATGGTTATGAAGGCTTGAAGACAAACTTACAAATTGAAAACTGGGTCCAAAAGCAAAACCAGTACTATTGGTTGTTCTTTCAAACGCATGTTGGAGGTATTTTGAGTATTCTTGCAACACACTTGCTTTGTCGCTTGGAGCTGTTTGGGAGCTGGGGCTCAGGTTCTCCTCTTGAACCATGTCTGTGTGTTCTCCTGAGGCATGCAAGTCCACACGCTGTTCAGTGATGCTGAAGGGATCTTCTTTCTGGCCTTCTGATTTGTGAGAGTACTGCTCTAGAATACTTTGCAAGACTTCATCAGGAATGCTAGACTTGTCGTGACAAGATTTGATGTCAGCATTTAGGGATGATGAGTCTATAAGAGATAAAGGGGTTTCACTGTCCATAACACTTACACCTGCAGACTGAATAACAGACGGTTGGGAGGCCATATGCCCAACATTTATAGAAAAGGCACTGTTACTGCTGGCGGTTTGCAAATATCTTCTTTTCTTTGAAAATTGCATGGCATCATCATAATTGCTACTTAATTGACCTGGTTTACTACCTGCAGCTTGGAGAAGGCCAATAGCATCTACGCTAGTATTTGCAACTATGCCAAGAGAGCCACTGGGTTTTCCAGACAACTGTTTTTGACCAAGAAGGTCAGGTAATGGTGACACAAAGTTCAGAAAACTCTTGTCTGGAACTTTCCTGCTTCCTTTTTTAAAGACTAGTTTTGGCACTTTTTTCTGTAGTTCTTCTATCCCAGTGCCAATCAAGCCACCACTGGAAGACACTATAGGAATCTCCACCGCATAGTTCGGCAAAGTCATATTAGATACAATTTGAGACTCGGATACTTTATGACTAGGCTTGCTGTCTTTGTTTTCAGTGGATATACATTTTGCTTTGCTTTTTCTCCTTGACGAACCTGTATTTCCCTGAGACAACATAGACAAGTTGCCCATGCTATGGTTTGATGGCCCAGGATCCATTCCAGCACTTGCTTTCCCTATGGCTTCTCCACACGTACGTCTGTGCTTCAACAGTCTATCAGTCCTTGAAAAATACTGCTGACAGGTTTCACATTTGTATGGCTTTTCTCCACTGTGCGTCCTCTTGTGTCTCTCCATATGATACTTTTGGATGAATTTCATACTGCACTGGTCGCACCCAAACGGCTTCTCCCTGCTGTGGATCTTTTCATGTCTCTGTAGCAAATACTTCTGAATGAAACCCATGTTGCACTGGCTACACTGGAAAGGCCTCTCGCCGGTATGAATGAGCACATGCCTGCGCAGATGATAGGAGCTCCTGAAGGCAGCACTGCAGTGTTCACAGACATGAGGTTTCTGGCTAGGGGACAGCATGGCAGCATCTCCATCTCCTGTCGCGAGGGACTTGGACGAAGTGCTCGGCTTCCTCTTGGCTTTGATTCCCTGAGATTCTGACTTTGGCCTCTTCACCTTCCTGGCCTGGGTGTCATTCTTGGGCTCCTCCGAGCCAACAGGACCCACTTCACCACCGCTCCGGATGCCCAGCAGCAAGTCTCCTCGGTGAGGATGATGATGCAAATGGTGGAACAGGCTGAGGTCTTGGATCACACTCTGGCCAGCCCCTTCCACACCGCTGCCGCCACTAGCAAGACCAGGGTGCCGCTCCTCCCCAGCTATCCCGAAGAGGCCCCCATAATGGTGATGGTGGTGATGGGGTGGCGGCTGCTGCTGCTGCTGCTGCTCCTCGTCCTCCTGATCGCTGGGCTTCTCCTGCTTGATGTTCACCAGCGAGTGGAAGAAGCCCCAAGAGCTCCTCTGGGAGGAGGCGCAGGGGGCAGAGAGGGGGAACCCCCCTGCAGGCTCCTTCTTAAAAGTCATGCTTTGCGGGAGGGCAGGAGGGGGGGGCGGCGGCGGCGGGGGCTCGGCGGCCGTTGCCGTCGTCGCGGTGGCGGTGGCGGAGGAGGAGGACGAGGAGGCGGCGGAGGGGGTGGCCGAGGAGGAGGAAGAGGAGGCCGAAGTCAGCCCACAATGCTGCGGGGGCGCGGCCGGCCGGGTGAAGCTGGTGACTGGCGGCAGGCGGTGATTGAACATGACCATGCTGGGGGGGAAAGCGGGCTCCATCGCCGCCCTCTTGGAAGAGCCGCCGCCGCCGCCGCCGCCGCCCAGGAAGCCGCTGCCGAGTTTCATGTCCCTCGAGGACGGGGACCGCGGCGGAGGGAGGGCAGCGCAGGCGCGGCCCTCGGCGCTGCTGCGGCGGCTGCCGGACCCCCGGCCGCGGCCGCTCGCTCCTCGCTCACCCGCCGGCTGTCTGTCCGCCCGCCCGTCCGCCCGCTGGCCGGCCCGCCCGCCCGTCCGTCCGCTCGCTCGCCTGCTCGGCTCCGCGCTTCAGCGCCCGCTAGCGCGGCGATCCTGGAGGCCGCTCGCCGGGCGCATCCTTCGCCTTCGCCGCCGCTCGGCCCCACCCGGCCCAGGCGAGGCTCGCCGCCCCCGCCGCCGCTCGCTCTTTACGGCCGCCGCCGCCTCCAGTTAAAAATATCGCCGTCTCCGCTCCACAATGGAATTAGCAGAGCCCCCCAGCAAGGCCTGCACTGCACATGCGCCACGCGCGGCATGCTGGGAAGGATTGCCCAGTCAGGAGGGCAGCGGATTCGGGGGAGAGCAAAGGCGCAGGCGCGGGTGGACCCCCGTCCTCGCGCTGCCTCCCTCCCCCCCCCCCGCCTCCAGTGGCAGCACGCATTACCTCACCCTCGCCACGGGCGGGCCAGTTGCTCTCCAGGCTGACACCAACTTGGAGGGCGGTGGGGGGGGAGGCCCCCGGTGCCCCATCCTTGGTGATGCAGCGGCCCCATGGGAATAAATGCAGTTATTTCTCTGCCGGCTGCGGGTGCAAATGGGCGCCCGGGGAACGCAAGCACATACGAGTTACACGCATCTAGTATGCATGTCTCTGCACGATGCACACGTGTTGGGGCGGGGGGGGGAATGGCATTGCATGCCCGCGGTTGGTCCAGTCACAAAGCATCGCCTGCGTGCTAATGCCTGGCCGCGGTTACTGGAGAGGAAGTCCCGGGGACTCCAGGCGGCCAGAAGAGCATGCGACTAGGGGGTGCAGCCGCAAAAGTTCCGGGAACTGATCGATAGAACAGAAAGCAGCAACCAACGGCCAGGTAGTTTCGGGAGAGAAGGAAGCTGGGAGGTTTGCATTGCCCGCGGCGACCCACTGACGTCCCTGACTGAGTCAGCGTTTGCATTGCCAAAGAAGTGGCTGAGATGTTCAGAAGATGTTGCCGTAGATTCTAGCTGGATACCGGGAAATGCTGCCTGACTGTAAGGCCAGCACTGAGCAATAGATCAACTTACCCATGGAAGTTATGAAATCGCCTTTGTCCTAAAGGATATGGATGAGCTTTCAGGGCTATTTTTATTCTTAAAGAGTCGTGAGTTCTGCAGCTGCAGTACCTCGAGACAAGCAAACCACGAGTTCCTTGCCACATTACCCCAATCTGTGTTTTCCTAATCACTCTATTACTTCTTAGGCTTGTCCGTGAGGTACTACAGATCTAAAATGAAATCCCACATCCAACTGCACATAAACAAATTGGAGCCATCTTTGTTTTAGAGACGAGTTTATATATAGTGTGTCATGTCCATGTCAGAACTTAAAACCGTGCACTGTAAAACAGTCTTCCTCAATCTCGTGCCCTCCAGATGTTTTGGACTTCAGGTCCCATCAACTCCAGCTAACATAGCCGGTGCTCAGGAATGATGGCAGCTGTAGACCAAAACATCCCAAGGGCTCCAGGCCGGGGAAGGTTAATTTAAGGCAGTGGTTGCCATCACATTACATATGATGAGGCATGGAACAATGGTAATGAAAACAGTTTTTCAGAGTTGTAGCCCTCTTGTTGTTGTTGTTGTTGTTAGTCACAAAGTCATGTCCGACCCATCGCGACTCCATGGACAACATTCCTCCAGGCCTTCCTGCCCTCCACCATCCCCCGGAGTCCACTTAAGCTCACGCCAACTGCTTCAGTGACTCCATCCAGCCACCTCATCCTCTGCCGTCCCCTTCTTCTTTTGCCATCTGTTGTTCCCAGCATTAGGCTCTGCTCCAGGGAGTCCTTCCTTCTCATTAGGTGGCCAAAGTATTTGAGTTTCATCTTCAGTATCTGGCCTTCTAAAGAGCAGTAAGGGTTGATCTCCTCTAGGACTGACCGGTTTGATCACCTTGCAGTCCAAGGGACTCACAGGAGTCTCATCCAGCCCCACAATTCAAAAGCCTCAATCCTTTTGCGCTCAGCCTTCCTTATGGTCCAGCTTTCACAGCCATACATTGCAACTGGGAAAACCATAGCCTTGACTATACGCACTTTTGTTAGCAGGGTGATGTCTCTGCTTTTTAGTATGCTGTCTAGATTTGCCATAGCTTTTCTCCCCAGGAGTAAGCGTCTTTTAATTTCTTGGCTGCAGTCCCCGTCTGCAGTGATCTTGGAGCCCAGGAAAATAAAATCTGCCACTACCTCCATTTCTTCCCCATCTATTTGCCAGGAAGTGAGAGGACCGGATGCCATGATCTTAGTTTTCTTAATGTTGAGTTTCAAGCCAACTTTTGCACTCTCCTCCTTCACCTGCATCAAGAGGCTCATTAGTTCCTCTTCACTTTCTGCCATGAGAGTGATATCATCTGCATATCTGAGGTTGTTGATATTTCTCCCAGCAATCTTAATTCCAACTGGTGATTCATCTAGCCCCGCCTTTCTCATGATGTGTTCTGCATATAAGTTAAATAGGCAGGGCAACAGTATACGGCCTTGTCATACTCCTTTCTCCATTTTGAACCAATCAGTGGTTCCGTGTCCAGTTCTCACTGTCACTTCTTGACCCACATATAGGTTTCTCAAGAGACAAATAAGATGGTCTGGTACTCCCATCTCTTTAAGAACTTGCCACAATTTGTTGTGATCAGCACAATCAAAGGCTTTAGCATAGTCAATGAAGCAGAAGTAGATGTTTTTCTGGAACTCCCTAGCTTTCTCCATGATTCAGCATATGTTGGCAATTTGATCTCTAGTTCCTCTGTCTCTTCAAAATCCTGCCTATACTTCTGGTAGTTCTCAGTCCACATACTGCTGGAGCCTAGCTTGTAGAATTTTGAGCATCACTTTGCTAGCATGTGAAATGAGTGCAATGGTGCGGTAGTTTGAGCATTCTTTGGCATTGCCCTTCTTTGGGATAGGAATGTAAACTGACCTTTTCCAATCCTGTGGCCACTGTTGAGTTTTCCAAATTTGCTGGCATATTGAGTGTAGCACTTTTACTGCATCATCTTTTAAGATTTTGAATAGCTCAGCTGGAATGCTGTCACCTCCACTAGCTTTGTTGTTGCTCAGACTTCCTATGGCTCATTGAACTTCACATTCCAGGATGTCTGGCTCGAGTTCAGTGACCACCCCATGGTGGTTATCAGGGCCATTAAGCTCTTTCTTGTATAGTTTTTCTGTGTAATCTTGCCACCTCTTCTTAATCTCATCTGGCTCTGTTAGGTCCCTGCCATTTTGGTCCTTTATCATGCCCATCTTTGCATGAAATGTTCCCTTCATATCTCCAATTTTCATGAAGAGATCTCTGGGTCCTCCCTATTCTATTGTTTTCTTCTATTTCTTTGCGCTGTTCATTTAAGAAGGCATTCTTATCTCTTCCAGCTATTCTGTGGAATTCTGCATTCAATTGGGTGTATCTTTCTCTTTCTCCCTTGCCTTTCGCTTCCCTTCTTTCCTCAGCTATTTGTAAAGCTTCCTCAGACAACCATTTTTCTTTGGGATGGTTTTAGTTGTTGCCTTTTGTACAATGTTGCGAACCTCTGTCCATAGTTCTTCAGGCACTCTATCAGATCTAATTCCTTAATTTTATTTGTCACCTCTACTGTATATTCATCAGAGATATAATTTAGGTCATACCTGAGTGGCCTAGTGCTTTTCCCTACTTTCTTCAATTTAAGTCTACATTTTGCAACCAGAAGCTCTTGATCTGAGCCACAGTCAGCTCCTGGTCTAGTTTTTACTGACTGTATAGAGCTTCTCCATCTTTGGCTGCAGAGCACATAGTCAATCTGATTTCTGCGTTGACCAGCTGGTGATGTCCATGTGTAGAGTTGTCTCTTGTGTTGTTGGAAAAGAGTGTTTGCTATGACCATCGTATTCTCTTGACAAAATTCTACCAGCCTGTGCCCTGCTTCATTTTGTACTCCAAGGCCAAACTTGCCTGTTATTCCAGTTATCTTTTGGCTTCCTACTTTAGCATTCCAGTCCCCCATGATGATAAGGGCATCATTTTTTGGTGTTAATTCTAGAAGGTGTTATAGGCCTTCATAGAACCGGTCAACATCAGCCTCTTCAGCACCAGTGGTTGGGGCATAGACTTGGACTACTGTGATGCTGAATGGTTTGCCTTGGAGTCGAACTGAGATCATTCTGTCATTTTGGAGATTGTATCCCAGGACTGCTTTTCCTACTCTTTCTTCTTTCTTCTCAGGGATTCTTGCCCACAGTAGTATACCTGAAGGTCATCTGAACTAAATTCACCCATTCCTGTCCATTTTAGTTCACCGATTCCTAAGATGTCGATGTCCTGTCTTGTCATCTCTTGTTTGACCACATCCAGCTTGCCTTGATTCATGGATCTTACATTCCAAGTTCCCTGCAGCATCGGACTCTCCTTTCACCACCAGATACGTCTGCAACAGAGAGTCCTTTTGTCTTTGACCCAGTTGCTTCATTCTTTCTGACGCTACTAGTACTAGCCCTCTGCTCTTCCCCAGTAGCATATTGGACACCTTCCAACCTGAGGGGCTCATCTTCCAGCATCATATCTTTTTGCCTATCTGCGATCTTAAAATAGTAAATAATCTACAATCTTGAGAAGAGGAGGAAGAAATCACTGCAAACATTGTTTCAGAATGCCATGTCTTCATTCTTCTATGATTGATGGAAAGAAAACAAAAGCGTAATTATATGTAAATAATAATAGAATTACCTTGCTTTCTTCACTTACAAACTGTAGAATGATTCCTGTGAAATTAAGTCAAGTGAGAACAAAAGTCTGAAGTGGAGATCAGCAATTTTCACTGAAAAGTACAGATTTCAGAATAGTTTAAGTTGGAACACTCTTTGTAAAGGAAAAAGCAACAA